TGAAATTAAAGTATTAGCTGTCTCTAAGTAAGATGATAGTTCTAATGGATTACCATCGAATTTAGGTACAATTTCTAAAATTTTTGCATCAAAATGCGGTGGTGCTGACATGTTTAAGCTTTCTGGTTTTTCTAAATTAAAATTAAACTTATCTTTAGAACTTAACTTAGGAGAATTAATTGATAAGCTAGATAATAAATCTGTTAAATCTAAATCCGCGTTTCTAGTTACGTTTTCTTGTCTTAAATCTAATTCGCTTAAATTTAACTCGCTATTTTCGCTACTTTCCGCCAAGGAATTAGGTGATAACGAGGGAATTGACATGGACAGGAAGTACTTACATGAGTAGTCTTCTCACCATAGCTTCTTTTTTCTTTTTTTTCTGACGTTGACCGGGAGATACAGCGAATAGAGTGACCCACTTCGTTGGTCCTAGAAGTGCCGTAGTCTGTCTCTATTTTCTCTCCAGCGGTTCCTCTTCTTGCACGATGCACGAAGTTCTTTTCTTGGAATTAATGCTTGATAGCAAAAGAGATGATTTTTCTCAAAAATTTCTCTTTTCCAATCCTACCGATGACTGCGCCACTTTATGTTTACCAATATTAAAAATTCATTTTTAAAAAATAATTCTAACTCAGAAAACCAAAGATTTATTTACTACTTTTTAGTTTATATTTTACTTTTAACTTATTTAATTAACAATAGAAAAAATTGATATGGTGACGGGCAGAGATTCGTTCTGCACTGCTGTCGATAGATCAATCCGTTGTTTGAAGTCCTGTCTTCGCTATTTATAATTAAAGGGTATCTTGCATCAGCATTATTGAACAATGAAGGCTGGATACATAACTACTGTAGTGTTTGGCATATTATACAGGGTTAATCGAGGGGTTCTTTTTTTTACCTCAACTTTAAAACACCCTGTGCAATAATTTCGTGAGTAAATTTTCCCAAAATATAATTTTACGGTTAGAACTATGTCTCCTGAGCATTTTGTTTTTTGGGGGGACACGGAAGGAGCCTCCACGATTGCAATAGTGTCTGAAATTTTGAAAACAAAAAATACTATTGCTGGCGTCCCCTGGAAACGTCTTATTTTAGACGGCCAATCCTTCTACCACCGGACCAAAGTGTACAAAGCGAAGTGTACGAAGCGTATCTTAGCGACATGAGGAGTAATCATCAACGGTTCTTTTCAGAACCGACTTTGACGATGGCGACCATAAACATAGAGGGCATTACGAATAGCAAACTGGAATTATTATCCAATTTCTGCAGCATGAACAACTGCGATGTTCTTTGCATTCAGGAGACACACAGGGACCATACGCAAAAACAACCTAATATCCCTGGAATGCGGCTAGCCATAGAATTGCCCCATAATAAATACGGGAGTGCAATCTTTGTGAAACCTGACAAAAGAATTACATCAGTTGGGTCATCAAATACAAATAACATCGAAATATTAACAGTGGAAATTGGAAATTACACCTCCGTCTCCAAACCTCCAGCAGAAACCTTTATCTTTACACCACCAACGAATTTCGATTCTCAGAAGATTAGATTCGTCTTGGGTGACTTTAAGAGTCATAGCCCTGCTTGGGGATATACAGAATACGACACGAACGGAAATCTTGTCGAAGAGTGGGCAGAATCATGCGACCTTTCCCTTATTCATGACACCAAACTCCCACATTCTTTCCATAGTAAATATCTGGAAACGTGGATATAACCCCGATTTATGCTTCACTACTCCCCATTGGAAGGACAAAGTGTCAAAAGAGTCTACAATCCCATACCTAAAAGTCAGCATAGACCAATAGGAATTGACGTATATGCAGCCGTCAGATCACCAACTATTCCATTTAGGCGTCGGCGTCGGTTTAATTTCAAAAAAAGCCAATTGGCAGAATTTTTCAAATGAATTGGACTCAGCTATTAGTGACCTGAAGCCCACACCAAAACACTACGAAAAGTTTAATGAACTGGTGAGGTTAGTGTCAAGAAATACCATACCAAGGGGATGCAGGCAACAGTATATTCCTGGTCTTTCCAACGATTCTAGAGAACAGCTAACTAGATACGAAGAACTCTTTGAGAGAGACACTTTCAGTGAAGACACCCTTGAATGTGGCTCAATACTGATTCAAGAACTGAGTAATTCCAGACAGCAGAGATGGATAGACAAACTAGAGCAAATTGATATGACCTACAGTAGTAAGATCGCATGGAATTTCCTAAAAAAACTTGATGGTGACCCAATTGAAAGGAAACAAATCAGTAACATCAAACCTGACCAGATTGCCCACCAGCTACTGAAGAATGGAAACCCCGAAAAAAGAATTAGAATACCAAAATTAGAGAGAGATCGAGCAAACGATATTGACATCCTGGAACATCCATATAGTTTAAAAGAACTCAACAACGCCTTAGACAGTATGAAAAATGGGAAGGCAGCAGGCGTAGATGATCTCTGTACCGAGCAGATTAAAAACTTCGGCCCAGCAACAAAAACGTGGGTTTTAAAATTGTTTCAAGAATGCACCGAAAGCCACAAAATCCAGAAATTTTGGCGCAAATCAAAAATCGTGGCTCTCCTGAAACCGGCCAAAGATCCAGAACTAGCCAGTAGCTATAGGCCGATCTCGCTGCTGTGCCATCTCTACAAACTATATGATCGAATGGTTCTCGGTCGCATGGAGAAGATCGTGTAATCAAAACTTAATCTCATCAAGCGGGCTTTAGGCCAGGAAAATCATGCACTGGGCAAGTCTTGGTCCTTACTGAGCATATCGAGAGGGGATTTGAGGATAGGCTGATCACTGACGACCTGGCAATAGCTGACACCAGCTTTCACAGCATCGAACTAAAACTGGAAGCTGCACTTGACACCATGAATGATAACTACGACCAAAACTCACTAAAGCCCAAACCTTCCAAGACGCAGGTTTCTGCCTTCCACCTACGCAATAGAGAGGCTACGATAAAACTCAATGTTCTGTGGAGAGGTAGTTCACTGGAACACACAGAAACACCTAAATATCTCGGTGTGATATTAGACAGGACCTTAACATATAGGTACCACTGTCAGAAAACTCGACAAAAGGTCAACGCGAGAAATAATATCTTAAGAAGGTTAACCGGAGGCAAGTGGGGTGCAAATCCCTCGGTCTTAAGAATGACGGCACGGGCTCTATGTTTTTCAACAGGCGAATACGCTTGCCCTGTATGGAGCAGATCGAGCCATGCGAAACGAGTTGACGTTGCTTTAAATGAAACGTGTCGAATAACAACCGGGTGTATGAGAGCAACAAGTCTACCTCAATTTTATAGAGCCTCCGGTTTTGCAGCCCCCCCCCCCACAGCGCCGCAAAGCGACCGAATATACTGAAATGTTTAAACAGATGTTCGATGATCGCCATCCACTTTATGGGGAGTTCCAGGGACCGAGCAGACTCCGGTCACGAAAAAACTTCTTAAAAGCTGTTCCAGAAGGTCCACCATCTGATTACCCTCTTAAGGAAAAATATCCCACCGGCCGACATCTTGATTGGGCCACCTGGAAGTCCTTGAACCGAATTAGAACAGGAGGAATGGGGGCTTATCGACGTCGAGGACACGGACTGTGAATGTGGCGAAAACCGAAATATGGAGCATCGGTTGTCCTGCAGAAGTTTCCCTCATACCTGTAGCATAGAAGATTTATGAAACGCCGAAGAAAATGCTATAGACATTGCTCGGTATTGGGCTAAATAATTTTAAATTACACTTATATATTTTAGATATTATAGATATTTATTGTCCGGACACGAAAAAGTAAGTAAGTTTGTTTTTTGGATCATGTCAATACATGCCTTGGTTAATTTTTAAGAGTGAAAGGAATTTGCTACCAACAATTTGCAATTTTTTCAATTATCATTACTTTTTGATGTAATTTGTTGATATGACGAGATGGTTTTGGTGACCATTGTCATAACGCTATATTCCGCAGCATTGGATACTCTATACTAAATTAAAAAAAAAACACGTTAAAGACTAACAATTAACAATACAGTCCTGGTTTTAATAAACAATCATAACAATAACCAAACTAACGATGTTAAAGAAAACATCTGTAATACTCAAGTATACAAACAGAAAAAAAAAATGTAAAAAATACACTAATACTTTGTATTACCTCCCTTGGCTGCTACAACTGCCTGTATACGTCCATTCCTACTGTCACTGAGGCTGCATATATCATTATTGCGTTATGCTTTCCCATTCTTCTTTAAGAACCAAACGAAGTTCATTTATTGAAGCTGGTACCGCTTCGCGACCTCTAAACCTCCTAACAAGCATTTCCCAAACGCTGAACATGATGGGCAGTTCATAGTAGTATATAGTTCACAATAATCACCAAAGCCGCCTCGTCATATTGAAAAATAACTTCAAAAGAAATGGTAATTGAAAAAATTGCAAATTTTTGGTGGCAAGTTCATTTCGCTCTTAAAATTTAACCAAGGCATGTATTGACATGATCCAAAAAACAAAATGCTCAGGAGACATAGTTCTAACCGTAAAATTACATTTTAGAAAAATTTACAAACGAAATTATTGAACAGGGTGCTAAAGTTAAGGTAAAAAAACAACCCCCTTTATCCGCTGCACCGTAAAATCAGTGTGCAGCGGCGCAGAGCTAAACTAAATCTCGCAATTCTCTGACAGGCTGACGGTAACGCCGGCAACATCTCGCACAGGTTTTGTGCCACGAAATAGCCCATAAGGTTGGGCATCTTCAATCAACGATCATACCAAATAAACTTTGAATCGCGTGATTAAGCTTGACCAGCACAGTGTTGTCCACTTTTACATATTTCCGTCAGCCCGGCGCCGAATATGTTTATGGTTGGCAACAATATTTAAAAATCGCGCCCTCGAAACTAAAAGTTTGATTGGTATCGCTTATATGGTTACAGGTTAAGCAAGTTATTGAACCCATGTCTCTATTTCCCTTTCAGATTATACACAATCATTATTTAATTACGAAATATCCATGGGTAGAATGGGAACTTACTTCTACAATTTATACATGTTCAGATTAAAACATCTCTTGCCAAAAGTGATGGGGTAAGTCAAAGTTAAATATTTTATTTTTTATATAAAAACAAAATGTTTTCCATAAAAGGTAAAAGTACAGGGTGGTTCGAATTGAAATAGGGAAAGTTCGTCAACATATTTTGCGTTAGAAATTAGACAGTCGGAACTATTGATGCAGTTAGTTTCTATTTCATATTTAGATGACAAAATCATAGTCTTGCCCAAGGATGCTACAGAGATAAGGATAGTTCGATTCCTATACTTCCCATACTGTCAATTTTTTGACGTCATCTAGGTATATCTCTGACGCACGAGCTGAGGTCCCTGATTTAAGCATCTACGGCGACGATTTGACGCGATCGAACAGTCATTTAGAACATACACAGGTCGTTAACTCGACAGTTACGTATAGGGGAACAGAATCGCAACACTGCCTATTGAGAACGCATGCACTTATAGGGCTTTCTGCCGACCAGAGATATGGAAGTGGAAGAATGAGCTTCGACGAGTGCGCATCCAAATTTTTGTCGACGGCAAGATGGCAGACATCTTCCAGGTCTCGCTGTCACTTCCCCTCTTCAATTGACATCTGTTTGTTTTGTTTTTTTTCGTTTGTGTTTTTATCTAGTTAAAATTTATTATTATCTCAATTATTCTAAACACTAATTCAAAAAGGCTTGTTGTATATTGTCATAGTCATTCTAAGAAAGCTAATACGCCGGGAAAAATGATTAGTTTTCATGTGTAAGTTTATACAACATAATCGTGTTTACAGATGATCCAAAACTGTTTATTTTTAGTTTTCCTAAAGGCGATTTGTAAAAATCGTGATTGTAATTGGGAATGGTCAAAAACCAAGTGTGATGTGGCCATTTGAAGAGGATGTTTTTATTACATGTGGAGGAAGAAGATACTTGGAATCAATGTTCGTGCTTCTGTAAAACAGTGCACTCTTATAGTGTCCATGAAAGCACAAGTTCAAGTGTACCAGAAATATGTCAAATATTCACTCAGGCAAACAGATTGGTCCTTACTTGACAAGAAGATTATTTGGAGGAAAAGAAAACATAAGATAGGTTATTTTAATCGAACAGCGAAAATTTAACATTTTTATTGTAAAGTTTGTTGTAGTTTTGTGCTAAATATTTCTAACATTGGCAGCAGCAGTGTTCAGAGTGTCAAAAGGAGAAGAATTCAGCTAATTAGATTTATGCACAGTTACAGGTATGAAGGCTTTTTCAAACATAGTATCGAGTTCTATAGTCAACATTTTTAGTATTCCTACAACTGTAAAAACAAGGAACATTGGACTGAAAAAATGGCAAGATTTATATAGGAAGAAAGGGTATTATGCCAATAAGAAAATTAAATCTGTAGGCAGAAGTTTCTTATTTAAAAACTGTTATGGGGCATATATTAATTTGTATCTGTGCCACAAATCACTGAGAAAAATCATATGATATTCTTAATTGTTAACGAGATGACATTTAAAGAGTGTTAAAAATGAGACTATTAGTCATGAAGCTTACCATTTTACTTTAAGAGTGTTTGTTTCAATATTACACTTTTATTCTTGTAAAATCTATGATGAAGGTCAAAAGCATTTTGCAATGGCCTTAAATTGTGAGCCAGGATTTATAGCAAAGGTATTTGATGCAATGAAACTTAATCAGTACCTTCCAGTATGTATTTTAGGAAGGGGATTGTCAATCCCATGTTTTTAAATAGATAAAATACAGGCCAAAGTATTACAGTTGAGAAGAAACTATTTTATCTTAAAAAAATTTTCTTAAAATTCTGAGATCATATAATCTAATTTTCTTAATAATAAATTAGGTATATGTATGTTGTACATACAGAATTTTGTTATGGACAAATAAGGATCGGCAAGCTTCTTTTGTGCAAAAAATAAATGATTTTTTCTAGTATTAAGACAAACCATAATGTGTTTTACAAACTTACCGGTAACAGTTTTTTTTATAATAAAATATTCAGGAATAATTTGGGTTGTTTATCAATATATTAATGACTTGAATTTTGACCAATTGAATTTGTATCAAAATAATTTTACGAAATATAAAATTGATGTTCTATTACAAGATTTAGAGTTTTTATTGTCGACAAAATCCAGGATAAATACTAATAATAATATCCTTAATAAAATCACTGATGTTTATGTATTATGAAAATATTTGTTAGAGGACATGTTATGTAACAGTTTTTGTAACACAATTTGAAGGGACGAATAAAAAAAATAAAACAAAAACATATTTTTTCTAGGTTTATATTAAAAATACAAGGTAATTATCAAAAATAATTATGAACAAATGTTTTATGAATATACAACTTGAACAAAAAGTTGTTTAGAACAATTTTTACCAAATTTGCAAAAATTTTAAATTGAAACGCGTAATTCAGTACAAGTAAACATGAAATAATTGTAAATATTTATTTAATGGCATTTCGAGTGTTTAACGACTAAGAAAAGATCATCTGGCCGTAGCGTCTTTTGTCATATATTATTCGTATATTTAGTGTATTATATACCAATATTGTACGCAGTTTTGAAACTGATGATAATTAAATAAATCATATTAATGTTATCTAACTATAATAAATGATAGATTTTCACTAAATTTAAATTGCCCCCCGTATGGTTGAAAACAGCAAATTGATATTTGATTACTTATAGATTACCACCTATATACAAAATGACATGGAGACCTGGAATATGGCGTCCAACTTGATTAGACCTTCTGCGCATGTTGACGCTCATTCTCTATCCCTTCTATTTCTCTGCTGCCGACTCGTCCAGTCGCGTCGTCTATCGACGAGCGGGCCGAGGTTGCCGTATTTCAATCATAAAGCTCTTGCCGCGAGTAATAAACAAATTAACAACCTGTATAGTCCTTGAATCTTCCCCATATACTTGATATGGGAAGTGTCCACCATCTTGGATTTAGTTGTTTGCGTTTTGTGCGCCCTCTTTGCATTTTTCGACAAAAAAGTTAGAAACAAATTGGTAGAGAATTAAATTCTCTACAACTTTTGTTTAAGTAATTTAGTAAGACATATTATTTATTGTTATTATTATTATCAGTAAGAATTGTTATATTAAAATATTACCTAAGATCTTTGCTATAATTTGGAAGACTACTTAATAGAGGTGGGCATTTGAACGAGTAGTAAAAATGAATCGTAAGATTCGATTCACCGCTTAGAATTAATTAACAAATTAATTCACACAGTTCATTCAATTGAATCGGCGTTCAGTTGGCTTGAAAATGACGATCAATGACATTCCCCATATAATTTTACATATAAAATGACAGCGATCTTCATTTCATAGCCATCGCTAACGCCGTTTTTTTTTTCGATCATACGGTACTTAATACTGCAATTTTTTCAGAGTTAGGTGTTTTGGCTGTGCGGCTCTGGGATTATGCTACGTGGCCTGTGGACGGTTTGACGCCTACCAATGCGACGGATTGTACCCGTGGGACGCCGCTGCCGGAACCCTGATAGTAAGAGAAGCGGGTGGTTTCGTCATTGATTCATCAGGAAAGGAATTTGACCTGATGAAACCAAATTTCTTGGCGACATCATCCAGAGAACTAGCCCAGGATTATTTAGAGATAGAAAGAATAGCGGATATGGAAATGAATGAAGCTGTTAAACGCAATCAGGCATTTGTGCCCTAATTGTTCACTTAAACAAGTTTACGTGTAAATTATTTTCAGAAATGGAAATTACTTGAAATAATCAATACAGCAATAATCAAACAAGATTCAATTTTTATATTAAGATTATAAAAGACATAAATTACGTAGGTAATTAATTAAAAAATAGTCGTCATTTCCAGGTCAGTCCCAAAGACCACAAGTTTAAGCTTACTGAAAATATCTATATTAATCAATACAGATGCATATTATACAATATGATCGAAAAGAAACGGCGTCAGCAATGGCTATGAAATAAAGATCGCTGTCATTTTATAAGTAAAAATATATGGGGAATTTCATCGATATTCATTTCCAAGGCAACTGGACGCCGTTTTTTTTCGATCATACGGTATATTTACGATATAAAATATTATCAATTCTCCAAGTATAGTGACAAGTTATTTTAATTATTATTAATTCAATAAAGAAATAAAAATATTGTATTATTTCCTTTCTTAATTCACTGTTTAGACTAGATGACATGTTTTTTTATAAATTTAAATATCTAATTTTGATAAAAGAAATCTTACTTAAATATTAAACTAAAATTTTATATTAATATTCTATATTATTAATTCTATATTCTAAAAATTTTACGATTATAACATAAAAAAGTTGTAATATGAAAATACGACTATTGTAGAAAAACATAAATTGGCTAACGCGTGGGAAAAATTTATTCAAAATAAAAAAATAAAGTCTAATTATTGTATGGTTTTAAAAGTAATTTTTAATACCAAACTATTTTTATATCGAAATTGTAATTAAACATTTACAATAACTTACTAACTAATAATAATACTACTTTAGAATAGGTATTATATTAAAATTGTAATAACTAGTACCCTTGTTTATATACAAGGCTAGTACCATACAAAATTGTTGGACGCCAGTACGTGTGGATCGTGTTTCCGACACGATCGTGTATCCGCCATATAGTTATACATCATATATAACTCCGCTATATAGTATTGTATCTATCATAGGTACAATATGATCGAGAGAAAACGTAATCAGGAAAACATAGTTTAAAAAAAACGGATTTTTTGAAAATCAATTTTATTTTTTCCTGCCGTTACTTTTCAGAAAATCAAAAAACTAATTGCACATTCTCATAACCACTCTATTAGGGCTATCTGATAGTATTTTTAGATTTTCAAATTAGCTGATAATTTGTGAGGTACAGAGGCCGACTAATTTTTTTTATATACGGACCTGCATTTTTTATTTGAGTTTTTAAAAGAATTCAGTCTCCTGGGTATAACGATATGCCACACTTTGTATTTTTTTTTTGTTTTGGATACTTAACATCAACAAAACTGTTTAATTATTATTTAAAATAATTTCAAGTACGGGACTGGATTTTTATTATTTAACGTGATCATATTCATCGCAACAATATTGATGAGCGTTAATTAACATTGAATATGGAAAATCGAGCTAATTGAAAGATTCAAATAAGTAATATCCAGGTCAGCAATTTAAAATATATTATTTTTAACTTTTTCTGTGAATTTGAAATCTTAATGTACGATCTAATATTATGCATAATATTAATCAGTTAATCGTAATTAGTAGTTATTATAAATATATCAACTTCAACAAACACGTGCTATATTGCTCTACATGTTCGAAAGGGTTTATTTAATTACCACCCTCCCTATTGCACCCATTTATTTTTGTTCAATTTTATGTATAGTCCTTTTAAGAGATCTTCTTATACTTCCGTATGCATTTTGTACTCTTTTCTGTAAATGCTGAGGTGTACTGATTTCGCTTTTACAAATGACGTCAAGTAATTTAGCCTCCGCCCCTTGGTGACACGTTCAGGAACCTCGTTGGCCATTATACTGCTCCACCATTTCCAATCCATGTTCCGGGAAAATGATTTGATTGTTTATATTATATTATATTTGTACTATTTATTTTATATTATTTTATTGTATTTCATTTTCCGCTTTCAATATTTTATCTCACGTCATTGTTAAGTTTTAAAGCTCATCAATATTGTAACAATGAATAGATTAAATATTTAAAAAAAACAGAGTCGGACTTGAAATTAATTTAAATAAATTGTGCTTAAATGCCCGAAACAAAAAAAAATATTAAGTGTGGTATATCATTGTACTCAGGAGACCGAATCAAAATCTGAAATAAAAAATGCAGGTCCGTATTTAAAAAATCAAGTTGGCCTATGTATCTCACAAATTATCAACTAATTTGAAAATCTAAAAAACAGATAGCCCTGATCAAGTGGCTATGAGAAAGTGTAATTAGTTTTTTGATCTTCTAAAAAGTAATAACAGGAAAAAATAAAATGATTTTCAAAAAAATCGGGTTTTTCCAAATAACTCTTAATGTAAATAACAAGCAATCCTTAAAATGTTTAAAACTTTTTTGATGGCATCTTGGTGAACATCCTAAAGGCGCAACTTTGCCCCAATTTAACCATGTTCGTATCTATTACGCTTACCGAGATACCAATGTTCGTACCCCGAATTTATAGTACCCTGTATAGGATTAAATCGTTATCATTAGAACTTTGAAAAAATAAATTGAAAATATATACAGGGTGAGTTTCCTACGATGTTCTCTATGGGTATCTCGGAAACTACTGGAGATAGAGAGTCGGTTAAATGGGAAAAAAATGCGCCTGTCAGATTTTTGAAAAAGTTCATGGCTTACTAGATATATCGAAAAAAAAAAACAAATTTCGGCTATTTTAAAAATTGTCCCTAATTCGATTATAAGCCATTTTAGACAAAAAGTTTTTAGATAAAAGTTTTAGATAATCACATCCTTAATAAGACTGTGTCCTCCGTTTTTTTCTAAAGCCTGTCATTTTTGACATATGACACAAACATAGGTTTTTTTAAATGGAAACCATAGTTGACCATGGCCTCATAAAAAGCGCCATTTTTTAAGCTTTTTAGTGATATAAGCTATAATATCTTTTCTTCGAAAAATTACTGAGTTATAGCCAATTTTTATCATTTTAAACAATTTCACTTAGGTAGTCATGGAAACAAGTTCAATCGCCATTGCTCTCAGAAATGTGAAACTGTCACATTCAAACTTTGTAAATTAAAATAAACAAAAATTGTAAATATGAATTTTTAAAATGAAGAAAAGCGTGTAGATACTCGCGCATCAATAGAGTGGTTCCAACATGACTTTCATTATGACCCCCCACCCCCCATAATGAAATAAATGTTAAAATTATTTATATTATAATGATACAAACGCAGGGATAGGGAGAGGTGGACTAATTGCATGGGCCTCCTCGATCACCTGACCTATCCATTTTAGAATTTTTTATGTGGTATAGTTAACAATAAGGTTTACAAAAGAACTTATGAATTAAGAGAGGTACTCTAAGTGGCGCACAGTGGGGTATTTGACACCAATAGTTGATCGAAATTTTTTTATGTAGACCTTATATAAATTATTGCTATTTTCAATTAAAGAGGAAATAATATGAACAAAATAAAGGATAATTCGTCGATTCTAAAAAAAGAAAGAAAAATCACTGTTTCAGTGTTTCCAGGGTCAATGCCACTAATGCCAGTAGTAATATCGCAACTAATACTAGTAATGCTACGACTGATCCGCGACCAATGCCCATACCACTAAAGTCGCTACTAATGCCAAATTGTGCTATACTGCTAATGGCACTAATGCGATCGCTTTGTAAACAACAATGCCATCGAGGTTTACACCTCGCATTAGTATATCACTGATTTGCAAATTAGAGGAAACCAAGAATGTTTTTCTCATTTTATCAGCAAAGTCGCAGTATTTTATTTTACTGTATGAAAGTCCAATGTTTACTAAGTAAAGCGTATATAGACAATATGCTGAATTGAATGAAAAAACTTATGCAAACGGAGATATTTGAAAAAAACGAAAAAATCCAAGATGGCGGCGATTTTTTTCAAACTTTCCTCACTGGGACCGAATGGGACTTTTGAGGGGTTAAATAGGAGATCATTATCTACTCATTCCCGTTGAGATCGGTTGGTTACTAATTTTTTCCACCTCAACCTCCAAATTGACTGGCCTATATGTATCTATACAGGGTGAGTTTCCTACGATGTTCTCTATTGGTATCTCGGAAACTACTGGAGATAGAGAGTCGGTTAAATGGGGAAAGAATTGCAGTTTTGTGGGGTCATAAATAGTCTTTCAGATTTTTGAAAATGTTCATGGCTTACTAGATATTTTGAAAAAAACAAATTTCGGCTATTTTAAAAATTGTTTCTAATTCCATTATAAGCTATTTTAGACAAAAAGTTTTCAGATAAAAGTTGTAGATAGTCACATTCTTAATGAGGCTGTGGCCTCCGCTTTTTTCTAAGGCCTGTCATTTTTGACATATGACACAAACATAGGTTTTTTGAATGGAAACCATAGTTGGCCATTGCTTCATAAAAAGCGCCATTTTTTAAGCTTTTCAGCGATATAAGCTATAATATGTTTTCTTCGAAAAATTACTGAGTTATAGCCAATTCTTATCATTTTTAAACAATTTCACTTAGTTAGCCATGGAAACAAGTTTAATCGCCTTTGCTCTTATAAATATGAAGCTGTCACATCCAAACTTTGCAAATTAAAATAAATACAAATTATAAATATGAATTTTTCAAATGAAGAAAAGCGTGTAGGATTATTGGTTCAACTTTTCTTGACCATACATTTTCGAGGATACGTTGACCGGTGAATGTTATGTTTTTTAGAGAACAGTTTTCAAGACATGTTAGAAAAAAATTTAGTTATAGCCAATTCTTATCTTTCTTGACTAATTTCACTTAGATTGCATGGTATTCTTATTCTGTTATGATTTATAACTTATAAAAAGTCAGAATATATTACTAAACGGTTCTTTATAATTTACATTACACAAACTCAAACTTAAAAAAATAATATCACTATATACACTTTAAGTTATTTTAAAAAATGTTCAAAATATTCGCCATTGTTTTGAGTTGCATGTTTTTAAAACTGAATTACTAACTATTCTCACAGAAGGACCGGTCGACTTAATTAAACTTTTCTCGTACCGCCACACGGTGGAGTATTAGCATGAAAAAGGTGATCGAAATTCGAAAAAGCAAATGTGTTTAAGATTTCCCAAAAAAAGATAAATGATAAGTTAAATCATGTCTGCCATGAATGGCGTTGCTATGGGTCTGTTTAGTTGCATTCATTTGTTTCAACGAAACGTCAAAGTTGTTACTTCTCACAGATAAGTGGTAAATGGCTAAATTTTATGTTTAAGATTATAAATTGTTTTTCTTATGCTCCTTTTACGTTTAAATTATTGTTTTGAATGAAAATGGCTCAGCAAGCTGCAGGTATGTATTCTACAAAAACATATTATTTATTTTGTTATTCTCTATACTAACGATTTTTTTTGCAACTAAAAGTTAGGCATTCAGAAAATTTGATTAAATTTGTGACATTTTTATTATACTTAGAAACAGATATATTTTTTGTAGAGAATTTAATTTAGAATATTTTACCTTCAATCATTTTTTTCTAAAATTAATAGTAATAGAGATAGAGCAATTTTTTACTATAGGTTTTATAAATTTTCTAGTTTTTTAAACCAATCAGCTATAGTTTTTGCGTTAACAGTATAGTGTTAATATAGATAAACCAAGCATAAATTTAAGCATTAAAGCAATTAAAAATAACGTTGAAATACTATTTATTAAATTAAATTATTGTTAAAAAAATTATTATTAAATTAAAGTTATTAAATAAAATCTGCTATGGCGTCATCCTGAGCGTCATTTTCCACTTCAACTAAAATACAAAAGTTTGTGCAACTGATTCCGTTGCACTGACCACACTTTGCAGAACATTTAAGACCCAGTTTTCTACAAGAGCAATTTTTAGAGCACTGACTCTCTTTGCAATTGCAAAAAAATTATTTTAGTAGGTCAGGAGGCGCCATATCTTCTGTTGATTGAATAGGTGAAGCCTTTCTTCCATCCATATTGTGAAATATCCTACTTGTTACCAATCCCTTCTTGAATCTAAAAAATACAACTTATAACATTTCCTATAATACATATATATCTTTACAGTTACCTGATGTCCCGAGTCACAAAAAATAGAGTTTTGCAGAGTTCTCAGTTGGAGGCTGAGCTAAATTAAAGGTAGTCTTAAGGGCTTGTCCAGATGTAACCCTATTGTATAGAGTGTATCTCAGATGATTAAGATGTTTAATATAGCTTGGGAGTGATATAGCTTTAAAAGATAATGTAATCCTGACTGAAACAAGTCATCTTTGCTAGCATTTTTTTCTAAAAATACGTCGAGGTATTGATAAAGATCGTCATCTTTTTTCAGTATCGACAGGTACATTTTTGACTTGTTCCAGTCAGGATTAAACTATTTTTAAAGCTATATCACTGCCCAAGCTATATCACACATATTAACCATCTGAGATACACTCTATACAATAGGATTACATCAAGACAAGCCCTTAAGACTACCTTTAATTTAGCTAATTTTCCTCCAACTGAGAACTCTGCAAAACTCCATTTACTCAGGACATACATCAGGTAACTGTCAAGATATACTCTAATATGATATCTATAATAGGAAATGTTATAAGTTGTATTTTTTAGATTCAAGAATGGATTGACAACAAGTAAGATCCTTTATAATATGGATGGAAGAAAGATCAAAAGACAATCTAACACCTATTCAATCAACAGAAGATGTGGCGCCTCCTGACCTACTAAAATTATTATTTTTTTGCAATTATTGCAAAGAGAGTCAATGCTCTAAAAATTGCTCTTGTAGAAAACTGGGTCTTAAATGTTCTTCAAATTGTGGTCAGTGCTACGGAATCAGTTGCACAAACTTTTGTATTTTAGTTGAGGACGAAAATGACGCTCAGGATGATGTCATAGCAGATTTTATTTAACAACTTTAATTTAATAATAATTTTCTTAACAATAATTTTATTTAATAAATAATATTTAAACGTTAATTTTAATTGTTTTAATACTTAAATTTATACTTGGTTTATCTATATTAAGACTATACTGTTAACGCAAAAATTGTAGCTGATTGGTTTAAAAAACTGGAAAATTTATAAAACGTATAGTAAAAAATTGCTCTATCTCTATTACTATTTATTTTAGAAAAAAATTATTGAAGGTAAAATATTCTAAATTGAATTCTCTACAAAAACATATCTTTAGTTTTTTCGAAAAAAGTTATGCAAACGGAGATATTTGAAAAAAAAACAAAAAATCCAAGATGGCGGCGGTTTTTTTTCAATCTTCCCCCACTGGGACCGAATGGGACTTTTGAGGGGTTAAATAGGAGATCATTATCTACACATTCCCGTTGAGATCGGTTGGTTACTAATTTTTTCCACCTTTACATATAACAGTCAGCTACGTTTACTGGCCTAATAATAATATATAGTATGTCTAAAATACGGTGATTTTACGCTGAATTAATTCTAAACACTTACCTCTCTGTGAGGTACGTGCCCCATTTGAGGTGGGTACTGTCCGTGGGCGGCGTTGCTAGATACCGGAGGCATGCCTGGATGCCCGGGATGGCTTTGAGGAGGACCCATATGCCCCATGTGGTGTACCTGAGGTTGCGAATGGGGCGGTGGTAGACTACCGTGAGCTTGAGACACTGGAGGCGGTGCTCCGGGAGAGTGCATAGAATGGGCTGACGGTGGAGGGCCCAAGCCTACGTAACAAAAGCAATACAAGTAATAAAAAATAAAACGACATTATTTTAAATGGCAACCTTCACTTATTATTGAATTTTAATAGTTTGTTTGTAGTAAACTTTGTTTAAACTTTATTACAATGGTGAATAGTTGTTGAGCTTACGAGTGTAAAATCCGCAGCAATAAGAAAGGGCCAGGAGTTACGTTTCATAGGTAAATAAACAGTCCACTCCAGCTTTTTATCGTTTTCTTATTGCCGTACCTATAGTCCGATCCCAATCTCAGACTTGAGTCGAACTTAGCCAAGCCTTCATTAGCCAGTCAAACCTTCGGACGTTCTCGGCGAAGCAAAGCTTGAGCAAGCGATGTCTAGTAACATTGGTTTTTTTAGTAACAATTCTAGTCATTTTTGAAATGTAATATTTGAAACAATGCGTAAACATAACCAATTTTTTATGATTTTCCAACTCGTCTTTTTACTTTTGTCTGCTTTTTCCTGTGTGTTTTTGATTTTGATTGTGTTTTGCCGTTTTTGTTGTAATTATAAACGGATCAAGACGATATTGACGATTTCCTAGAGTATCTTGACTATTTGGAAGATTATTATATACAGGGTGGTCCGAAATGTATTCCGAAAACTTCGGCAGCAAATTCTGCAGATAAAAATAAGTACGAAAATTCGTTCGAAAAGTTATGTCCTAAAATGCTTAGTTTCGGAGATACATGGTGAAGAAGTTTCATTTTTATTTCCATTTTTTTCAAATAATTTCTGAAGTAATTTCAATATTTGGATGAAAATTGGTGTATTTGGCGTAAATGTATATTTTTTTACTTAGTAGTTTTATATAGGTACGGACCTTTGAATAAGAAGACTAAGGAAGGAGCATAATGCTATCCATGTATTCATGCATGGTGGGCGGAAAAAGCGCCATAAAAGCACTCTAGGGTGGGGATCCTTGACAGTTCTGTTTGACGATTCATTTGATACATTTGAATTTGATTTGAAATTTTGTGGATTTGTCAGTCTTTACGGAGCTTATTTTATGTTATTTATTATTTATTCTACTACTGATAGTTGTATAAAGTTAGTAAATCTAGATAGAAATTGTGGCAGCACTTAAATTAACAGTGACACTATCGCGATTTATCGAAAAAGACTCTAAAATAGTTGGTTGTGTATCGTGCGGTAGATCTCGGCAAAAATTGAGTGAAATATTGGAACAACTTTTCGCTAGTAAGTGACTATACAATATACATACGTGTAATAAACAGATCATTTATGAAATTCACTTAAATTAACTAAATTATATATTTTTCTTGCATTTTAGCTTTTATTTATTATTTGTCAAAGATTAGATGTCAAAGAATTTAGATACGTTAATTTGGCTTACCTGCTTCAGTAGCGTATCGGATGTTTGTGGTAATAAATACTTATTATAACTTATATATTTTTATTAGAATTATATATTTTTATAACAATTTTAATAACTACCAACATTTATTCACAACGTAAAATAAAACAACAAATTATTGAGTCTACCCTACATCATAGTTTTACATTTTTTAAATAAAATTAGAACGACACTGATAAACCGGAATTTAAGTCGGCCATATTTGAGGCCCATCGCGGTGTACCTAAGATTTTTGATATGCTCCTTCCTTAGTCTTCTTATTCAAAGGTACGGACGAACTTACCCTAACCTCTACAAGTAGGAGTCATATTGCCATCAAAATGAAATTTTTCACGTTAAAAAACTTCCAGATGCCAATTTTCATCCAAATATTGACGTTACTTCATAAATTATTTGGAAAAAATCGAAATAAAAATGAAACTTCTGCACGAAGTTTTGTACCTTACCACACCTGCACACTAGTTTTGTACCTTTTGTTAACATTTTAATATGTTTTTTCGTAATTAATTAGTATGATGGCGTAGTCAAATAATTTTTAAAAAATACAAATATCTCTTCAAGCAGCTAAGTTAAGAAAAATAAGTGCCACGGCACCTAATGGTAACAATTTGCTCTCGGGTTACACTAATAGATGGAAAAATTATTTATTTCGTTTTAATAATCTAAAATTAATAAAATATTATGGCAATATATTTTATTTTCGAAAATAATGTTTTCCGATTTTCTTTTATCATTAAAAAAATCCCCTCCATCAGCCTGCCCTCCTAATCTGTTTGCTTGCCTAGATAAAGCGGCCCTGATATGATCTAGAGTATTTAGGTCTTTTGTGTGAGTTAGTGAATTACTATGAATATTGCTTTCAATTGCTTACTTGTTTATTTAAGATTAGTACGCATTTTGTTCTCATTTACCTCCCATATGAAGTCCCTGGTTCTGGCCACCAGAATGAGGTTGGTGATGAGTCGGCGGTGGCGGGTGTCCCAAATGCTGAGGCACCCCAGCGTGGCCTCCTGGTTGATGAGATGGCATGCCGTGTGGCGGTATATGCGATGGAGGAGGTCCCGGATGAGCACCAGCACCAACATGCTGTTGCCCAGGGCCTGGATGACTTGGCGGGCCCGGTAAACCAGGATGAGGCTGCATATAAAAGATATTTTGTTACCCAAAAATAATACGCACTCTCTGATTATTCTATACGGTCAAAAGAGTAGTAGAACGTTTGGGACAAACTGGGGCCTGATTCTGTAAACATGTTTCTTGTCTAGTGACTCATCAATCGTATACAAATAGCATAGGCTAGACAGGAAATTTCCTGCTACGGAGCTTACAGAATCCAACTGCTGGTCGAAATAAGCGTAAAGCGGGTAGTGGTAAGAAGCGCAAAACTACCGCTTTAGACGATTGATATATTCTGACGATATATCAATCAGTATCAAAGCTTAGTGGGGTCGTCATTTAACAACGGTGCATATAAGAATTCGGTATCAGGCAGGTCTAGTCAAGAATGTGAGTATATTAATAGTTCGTCGATTCGTAGGCACACAAAATGCAACTGTCAATATGACATTACGATATTAGTCACCATGTCATTAAAAAAAAACATCAAAAAGTAATGATGATTGACAAAATTTCAAATTGTTGGTGGCAAGTTCATTTCGCTCTTAAAAATAAACTGAAGGCATGTGTTGGCACGAATAAAAAATCAAAATGCCCAGGCGTCATGATTCTGATAACATGGAACCTGATAAACGATGTTACCTACTTTTTTTGTTTTTTGTGTTTTAGTTTTTAATTTGCTAAAGATTTGTCCTATTACATTTACCTCGATGACATAGAGGTATGTTATGTTGTTTGAATACATTACTCATATACGTTTGAATACATTACTCATATTGCTAGATTCCATGTAATGATTGAGATTCTGTATATATTGGAATACTAGCCAATACCTAGAAAACAGGATAAAAGGGCACAAATATGTCAAAAAAAATCAAACCGCCCTAACAAACCATGAACTGAAGGAAAAGCACTCTTTTAATTTTAACGAGACCAAAATATTATTAACAGAAATAAGCCAAAAGAAAAGGGAATTCCGTGAAATGATCGAAATACAGAAAAACTCACATTCTATTAATGACAAAAAAGACGTTCAATATCTAAACAAGCTGTATATTTCAATATTATATTTATTTTAGAGTCTGACATGTACTAGTAATGTGGTTATTTTTTTTAATATGTTATGTGTAATACTTAAGTAAATTTTATAATGATTTTATATTGTTGGGTGTATAGTGTGACCAACGGATCTGTAGCTACAGGGTATCGGCAGGGGAACGCAGTTGTAAACAAAACACGCCCAATTTCATTCATAAAATAGGCATGGGCGTACGGTGTTTTATGAAAATAATGTGTATCATAAATATAATATTCAGATTCAGATAATATTTTTTTCAAAAAACTTTATGCTGTTCGAATCGTTACTGTTGAGTTAGCAGATAAACACTAAAAGCTTTTATTAAAGCTCCCTTAAATATTTTGAATCATTTTAATATTATGTGTTGTTAATATAATAGAAGAAATAATTACAGCTGGGGGTTGGAACCTTTGGTCTTACACAGCAAAATAAAACACTAAATCAGTACAATACACCAAAACACTTTTAATTTTACACTGGACGCACGTTTCGCTAACCATGTCTGCCATCAGCAGATGATCAAGACTGAATCTTGAGATATATTTATTTATATATCTGTACTAATTATATTTTTTTCTATAATACATAATTTTAGATATAACTATTTCCAGCAAAAAAAAATCTTAAAAATAGTTAACTTTGGAAGCGCAAACAAAACATAATTTTACTCACCAGTAGATCCAATATTGCCTATTACACCAGATATGGTATCGCTCCGCCAGCACTTTTTAAAGGTTAGGTCATTGTCGACCCATATGTTTCATCCAAATAGATAATACTTGGCTATATTTTCGAATTTCGCGTATATATTTATATCTCTCTCTGCAATTTCATGGGCCGCTCCATTAATATTTATCTGTTATTTTGACATTTACGCCAAAAAAATTCATTTGATTTTAATAACCCCCTTAGCGTTTCCCTGCCAAAGGAAAATTCGATTCTTCCTGCAATTTTTGCAAAAGCTTTCTAATTGTGGGGACGAGTTTGAATTTGAGATAAAATCTATTTATCAAATTCCTGACCACTTGGAAAAAGTCGTCGAGCATTTCAATAGCAGTCTCACGTGGTCGTTTCTTTCCATGGCTGAATATCATTTTATCGGGGTTAGTTTCCAGCCTTTTTTTATTTTCTGTGTGAATTTTTTTTATAGCCGATACGCTAACTCCGGTATAAAGAAATATCCGCTCAAGTTTACGTTTAAGCGGCAACTTAAGCGAACTCTCTGTAGCTTCTTCGTCGCAAACCCTATTATGAACACAAGGAAATAAACCAAATGAGATTTCATCCACGTTTATTTATATTTATTTTAGTTTAGCTAAAATATTTAGGTAAAATGTGTGCTTTTCATTTTATTCTACTTACCTATATAAATTAGCTATTATTTCTCTTGTCTGGCTATGTAGCGTCTTACCCTTAACAAATTTATTCATTTTAAAACACAAATATACGATCAAACTTGATATTAATAATTAAAAACTACGAACGAAAAACATTATAACAAGATAACAAGTAATAATGATCAAAAAAATGACACCGCCACTGGATATTTCAATAGTATTCAATATTCCTACTCTTTTCAGAAGAGACCGTGAAGTTGGGGATAAAGCAAGCGAATAGGAAAGGCGTAAAAGCCATGGCAACCGCGTGGTAACAAATCCTGTGACGTAATCTCGCCAATCATGTTCGATGAATAGGCGGCCATGCGCGGCGATGCTGGTTTGCCAATGATATCGTTGAAAAATCTTCAACTTTCATAATAAGCAGATTATACAGAATGAAAGAAATAAGTTATTAAATAAAACATATCGAACAATATAAACTACGTTAAAATTCCTTAATAATATACGTCAGAATATATGCTAAACACATTATATATAATAAAAATATATGAAATTTATAGTCCATGTCTGGCAATTTTGCAATTTTATAGATAAACGTGGCAATGTCGATTTTTTTTTCTCGCATTCCTTCCGTAGCTTCAGATCCGCTGGTCAAACAGTATATGTATTTGGTAAGGTTTTTTTTAAAGTGTTATTTAATTGCATTTTTAAAATTGAATTGTGTTTCTAGACAATAATTATAATTTTCTGAAAAAGACCTAAGAATGGTCGAAACGTACGTAAGAAATAAAAACAACTTTTAATTATTATGTTTTAAATTGCTGGCATAAAACCAAGAATAAATCCCAACTAAATATACAAAAGGTCAAAGAAAAAATTAGATTTATAAATAAAAGATATTTAGTTACCCAAAAATAATCGTATATTTTTTGGATAAAACAATACGATACGAGCAGCGTACAAGTGAGACGCGCGCAGCATCCACATAAGTATACTTATATGGCAGTATCCAAGTGTATTTGCTTCGGAGTGTGCGCACACTTACTGACCATTCAAACTCCTGTTTTGCCGTTAAGGCCGCGCGCATCACTAGTATCTCTTTGAATTTTGACATAACACAATAGGTTGACAGATGACACTACTGGCATAATAAATCCTTTGAATAAGAAGACTAAGGAAGGAGCATAATGCTATCCATGTATTCATGCATGGTGGGCGGAAAAAGCATTCTAGGGTGGGGATCCTTGACAGTTCTGTTTGACGATTCATTTGACACATTTGAATTTGATTTGAAATTTTGTGGATTTGTCAGTCTTTACGGAGCTTATTTTATGTTATTTATTATTTATTCTACTACAGATAGTTGTATAAAGGTAGTAAATCTAGATGGAAATTGTGGCAGAAGTTAAATTAACAGTGACACTATCGCGATTTATCGAAAAAACTCTAAAATAGTTGGTTGTGTAGCGTGCGGTAGATCTCGCAAAAATTGACTGAAATAATGGAACAACTTTTCGCTAGTAAGTGACTATATAATTAACATACGTGTAGTAAACCAATCAAAAATGAAATTCACTTAAATTAACTAAATTATATATTTTTCTTGCATTTTAGCTTTTATATATTACTTGTCAAAGATTAGATGTCAAAGAATTTAGATACGTTAATTTGACTTACCTGCTTCAGTAGCGTATCGGATGTTTGTGTTAATAAATACTTATTATAACTTATTTTTATTAGAATTATATATTTTATAACAATTTTAATAACTACCAACATTTATTCACAACGTAAAATAAAACAACAAATTATTGAGTCTACCCCACGTCTACCCTACATCATAGTTTTACATTTTTTAAATAAAATTAGAACTGACAAACCGGACACTGATAAACCGGAATTTAAGTCGGCTATATTTGAGGCCCATCGCGGTGTACCTAAGATTTTTGATTTGCTCCTTCCCTAGTCTTCTTATTCAAAGAATAAATCTAATGGATGTTTGTTTCTTTTACCTGTATTGGTGTTTAACAGAAAAAAAAAACAGTTAACGTCCGGTCGTATACCTTTCAGTTCACCTCAGAATGGCAGTTTAACATTTCGTATAGAAAATGCCAAGTTTTACTGCCACTCTGAGGTTATAAAACCTGATTTACTAATTTATTAACTAAAAGCTAAATATAAAATCAAAAAACCCGTTGAAAGCATTCAGAGTAGTAAGCTTTGAAACCGAGAGATGGCGCAAAATACAAGTTTTGTTTTATGTTTGTGGAAATGGAAGTGTCCAATTTATCCTACTCCCTTATCTATGGATCGCTGTTATATGTAAAATTATATGAGAAATGTCATCGATGTCCATTTCCAAGCCAACTAAACGCCGTTTTTTTTTTCGATATACATAAGTAGGGTATTCATAAATTCTTTTGGAAATTCCGGACAAGTGAACTCAGAAATCCGGACAAAATCCGGACGTCGCAAAAAAGAAACTATAAATTTATTTATAAACTTTTATAGGACGCAAATAATAGCACCGGAATCAATAAAATATAAACCAAAAAACATTCACTTTCCAGAAGTGCACCAAAAACGAAAAATGTGTGCTCCAAAGTATAGAAATGGGTATTTTCGAACATGCGTCAGTTAAGTAGAGCTAGCATTGTAGAAACTAAAATATTCAATAAAGTAACTAAGAAATAATTAATTCAACTGTAACTGTAAAATATTTTACAAAGTTTTTCTTAGTAGGTAGAGTAGGTAGACTAAGCAGTCAGGTTTCCCGGACGCTTTTCCAAATCCGGGCCGGACCGCTCGGCCCGGGTAAATCCGGACGTACCTATAAAAACCCTAGTTATGGAAACCCCATCACGTTCAACATAAGTTTTTTTAATATTATCGTTCCTTAATCTTTTTATTCAAATACTTATACATAAAACCTTACCTAAAAGTGCAATAGAGCAACGTCTACTTATTTAAATTAAAGATACCAGTTTAACGGTATGCAACCCAAAATACACTTTTATATTTAAGAAATAATTTTTCGTCTTTTATCATTAGGGTTTCCAATTTTCGGGATCGGGATCCCGTTTTGAAATCCCGGGGTTACAACCTATAATCCCGGGATTGACTATCAGAATGAGAAATTTAATTTAAAGAAATACTTAATAAAAATGCAGCTTTACGACATACAAAACAATTTTCTTTTTACTTTTTATTTTTTTTTCTACTTTCGATTTTTCGAAATTAGAAAAAAATACCCAGCTAAAGGCAAGAAAATATTATTTATTAATAAAAATGCAGCTAAATATATCAAAAAGAAAGTGAGAAAATAGCTTTATTAAAATAGACAAAACAAAATAACATTCATATTAAGTAAGTAAAAAAAAATACAATAATTATTCTTGTTGCAAAAGAAAAGAAAATATAGCAAACACGGAGATATAACTTTTAGATATTGATGTTCTGTTTAGTATAAATAAAATTATATGATCTTTGAAAGACTAAAGTGTATAAAGAAGCAGTCGGGATTTTTGGAATCCCGGAATTTAACATCAGGATTTCAGAGATAAGCATACACCGGGATCCCGGTTTGGAAATCCTATTTATCATATTAAATACAGTGTATAAAAAAAACAGTTACAGTTAAGGCTAAATCATTTTCTTTTAAATTACCTACTTGAAATAATAAAAAATAGGTTTTCTTCATTAGAATTCTAGTCATTGTTAAAATGAACCATAACAAAACTGGCTAACATTAACTTTTTTCCGAAAACAAAATTCAGGAAAGTTGTGCCACATAAACACATTCTCCTGATCTGATTTTCATCAAAATTACCTGCATATGAGGTGGTCCATGGCCCCCTTGACTTGCCGGCGGCATATGAGGCTGGTGCAGCGACGGACCCATTGGAGGCATTGAATGCGGAGGTCCGTTCAAATGTCCACCAGAATGCGGCGATATTGGTGGCGGTTGATACGGACTGTGCGGTGACTGTGATGGGGTCGGACTCTGACTTGGTGGCCCCATTGGGCTAGGAGCCTGAGGAGGTGGCATTGGACTACTGTTCTGAGTTGTTGGACTTGCCATTATATGTCCTGAAACAATTCTGTAATAATTGTTATTTTTTTTAAACAAATAATTTTATGTTGTATTACAGAATTATTAAAATCAGCTACAATTTATCTTAATTATACAGGGTGATTCACGTCCATGGTACGTTAGAGGTTTATGGAGAACCGGTAATAGGATTTTTGTTTTAAATTTAGATTTTTGCATAAAAGCACCTGCTATCTGTCTAAATTATTTTCAGAGTTACAGTGTTGCCGCTTCATACTAATAGTGATAGCGTCTTTGTTATTTTAAATGGAACACCGGGTATATTATTAGTACATTTTTCGAAACTATACAGGGTGGCGCACCTCATTCGCCTAGGTTGATTATACGAAAACGGAAAGATGTAGAAACAATTTTTTTTGTGGGTACATATATGTAGAGAGGAAATGTTCATAATTTAAAATTATTTTCAAATGTACAGGGTGTGTCAGAACTAAGATCCATACCAAAGTTATATTTTTTCTTACGGAACACCCGGTATTTTATTTCATATTTGGATTCTTGGGCATTAAATAAGGCATTTATTATAAGGGTTTAATATGATTAAATGCTTTGGTTGTTGAGATATTTAAAGATATTTAAATATGCATGCTATAATGAATAAGTTTGTCAACACCCTGTACATTACTTTCAGAGTTAATTCTTGTGCTGACTTTGAAGTCAAAAAAATAAAGTTTACTAAAAAAAGTAAAGTTTTTTAGTAAACTTTATAGTTTATATATTAGTTTCCTTAAATGTACCTATATAGGGGTATCAAAAATTGCTGGTCTATTTTAAACATTTATTTTACATAAAAACCTTCGTTATTTCAAATGCAACACTGTGTATTTTTTAAAATAAGTCTAAGCATATTTAAATGATCTTTCAATAAAATGGCAAGCAAGATGGCTGGTGTCGCCATGGCAATTTTCTAGTGATATAGTTAATAGCTATTTTCAAAATCGACATTAGTTTATGGACTTTATTTAAATTTATAACAATTTGCTTTTGTTTAATTTACCTACAATAGACCTTTATAATAAATGCCTGATTTTATGTCCAAGAATCCAAAAATGAAATAAAATACCGGGTGTTCCATAAGAAAAAATATAACTTTGGTATGGATCTTAGTTCTGACACACCCTGTACAAAATTCATGATTTTACCAGATTTTATGTCAATTTTATACATATTTTATTTTTCATCTTGTAAACTAAAAGAGACAGCTATAAGTTAGCACATATAAAAGTAAAATTATGAGATATTAAAGTAGTTTTGAAAAATGTAATGATATACTGGGAGTTAAAAAAACTAAAATTAATGATTTTCCGATTATAAAATATAATAGAAAAAATCGTCAGTGAAAGCTATAAAATGAAGATCGCTCTGTCATTTTATATGTAAAATTATATGGAGAACGTCATCGATCGTCATTTCCAAGCCAACTGGACGCCGTTTATTTCGATCATACGGTATTATGATTACATGCAACAAATATAATAGTAGGTATACAAATTTACATTATTACTCTGATTATTACACAGTATTAACATATTTAAAACAAATATAAACGGCATTCAGAAAAATTTGTAAAATTAAATTATAAACTTTTGAATATGAGCTTAGCTTCAATTCATTATAATAATGTATACATGCAACAAATAATATAGTTAGAATATGATATAACATACTTATTTGTGTATTATTTTAAACAAAATATAAACCGTATACTATAGAGTTGTTCTATAACAGCTAAGTTAAAAACATTTTAAAATGTGCTAAAATTAGCTTTATATATTTAAACTCGATCAAATTATTTATTTATCTAAACAAAGACCGCAATCAGCCAAACACAGCCGAATAAAATTTTAAAAAAATAGCGCATGCCCCGTCCAATTTTAATTTAATAATTTTACTCGGGGGACAAAGAAATGCTAATAATATGAATCCAAAAATCAATAAGCATATACAATTTTATTATTTTATTACATTACATATTTAATATAGAATAGCATTTATCAGTGTAGCTGAGGAAATCTGGATCATTTATGTCTTCCCGGCAATAAATTCAAATCAGAAGCAAGAAAAAAAAGTATTTCTAGTAGATGATTGACACATGAAGGTCATGGTTGTCATAAAAATTCTCAAGAAAACCGGCCTTGACAAGTGATCAAAACAAACCTCTAACCTCCAAACCGCTTTTTTTAATTTATCTAGCTCTGACAATATGAGAAAACACTGCCTATGCTTTATTTATAATAAGGTACTTTACTAAATTTACATATTTTATTACAGTTTCAAAATATTAATGTCATATTTACCTTTGTTTTCCTTTATTTTCACATTATAAACATTCCTCGGTTTTGTAAACAAACTTGCCGCGCAAACGACACTATTTTTAAAGACATTCTGGGAAAGCCGCTCTTTTCTGGGAAAATCAAACCGTGAACGCCATTTTCTAAAGCGCGTACCGCATTCAATTTTCTTTTGTTTTCATTTTCCTGTCTCGCTTTTTCACAAACAAGTTCGCGGTGTGGGCGGAGCATAGCGCCAAAAGAAAATAAAATCGAAAATTAATGCTTCCTGGCAACGTCGATATATTCGGATATATGAAGCTAAATTTAATACATTTAATAAAAAAATGATCAAAAAAGGTATATTAAGGTTTTAAAGAAACATTAGATAATTTATTAAAGCTTATAACATAATGACAAATTTTCTAAAAAGAAATATTAAAATTTTCATGCTCAAAGATTTTGATATTTAGGATTTCGACGTGCGTCCCGATCAGCTGATTCAGAGCTGTCAATGCCAATCAACTACTTGTCAACGTCAACTGTCAGCTTTGTCAGTTATAATTTAAAATTTTAAAAATATCTACAATTATTTGTTGTGTTGAGATTTATTATATATTTATTTTTGTGTTTATATCGAGTGGAAAATATTTGTGTTTCTTACCTTAATATCCGAAATTAAGATGGATTCTGATGTTGCACTATATATGATGTCGTTTTTAAGGGATTACAATTATCCTTTAATTCATAGCATGTCTGATGAGAAAATTACTGAAATTTTTCATATTTCAAATAGATGTTTTTTAATTTCCTGGCTTTTTAAAGTATTGGATGAAGAATCTTATTCCTCCGTATTAGAAGATCGAGAACAGGATAAGAATGTATTAGGAAATTTAATATGTAGTTATGGTTTTTGTATGGATGAGGAAAAAGCAGGGTTCTTTAATGGAGACTTACCTATGGCTGAACAAGTATTTTTACAGGTAAATATTCAAACGCTATATCTAAAAAATGCTTATTTTAGGTTCAGATACTTTACAGGATATTTAAGTTTATAGCAAATTTAAAGAAATCACCTTCCGTTGACAAAGAGAATTTAAATCTAACAGTTATTGATACATTAGTAAATACCAATTTGAATATCTTTCCGAGTTTTGGTGAACTTAAACCATTGTCAGAGAAGGAGAAAATTGCTAAACTTCAGGAAATTCAGTTGAAAAGTAAGAAATTACAGTTACAATTGAAAGAAATGCCAATGAAACCTAAAGATAAAATTACACATATGTCTGGAGAAAACGAAAACAACTTAGAAGATACTCTTAATTATTTAAGAAACAACTTATCTCAGTTTGATCGAATCGTAAAGGCTATCGATAAGGATAAAAACATGGCAACAAAGAGCAATTATAAGGTGAATCCGGATTCTGAGCAGTTATTTAGTAAATGCAACAAAAATCTAAAAATTATATATCAGGTAAGCTTTGTTTCTCTATAATCTTATTCTTTATTATCCTTCAATAATGCAAAACTCGGGGTTTGATATATGGTAGGATAGGTACTCTCTCTCTCTCTCTCAGTTAGGTACCCTCTAGTTCTTGCCCTGGAGCCTTCATATCTTTATGAATTTTGTGACATGTCTTTTATGCATAAAAATGTATTTTTTGATGTACCTACAACAATTTTTTGTATCTCTTAATTTCCTTCCAATCCATACTGAAACAATTTCAACACAACAGTCACCGCATCAGATTTTCAGTGATTTAGCTTTTTTAGCAAAAAATGAGAAAAAAAGGCCTTAAAAAACACTATTTTCTCGCAAGGTTATTAAAAATTTTCTCGATCAAAAACTATGCATTGGACATAAAAGATCAAGAGATGAAAATTCTTTAAAAATGTTGATCACAGCATCAGATTTTTAACGATTTGATCCTGAAGTAAAATATTTTTAATTTTTTTTTATTGAGGCTAAAATGGTTAGCGAAAGGCATATTCAGTTCAAAAGTAAAGTGTTCTTCTATACTGTGGTGAATTAGTGTTTTATTTTGATAATTTTTATTTGTTTCGGTGTCTTCTTTATTGCAAAACTTTCTGTACTAAATGTTATATGCTTTTTATAGCACGATGTTTATTAGTGTGGCTTTATTTATATATTTTTAGTTATTTTTGCACTGATTTGTTTTTCTGCAACATAATTGTGTAAAAGGTTTAAATGATTGCCAAAGCAAAAATTAGATTTAAACGCAAGATCAAACATAATAATATGAAACTGTACTCACAGTATTCACTCAAAAATATTATATAAAATACTTGTAGTGGTTTTAAAATAAACTAATAATTTGTAAACAATTATCGTAAATATTGTTTACCATTTGTAAAATTATTGTTTTTTTGTTTATTGTTTTTTTGTTTATAATATTATATTATAAATCATTATTATCAGTAACAATAATAATAGTAAATGCATTAAATAATATAATGTTGATGCTGAAATGAATAAGAACTACTTACTCAGTGAGTATTGCAGTGTTTGTTTTAAGTATGTTTGCAAATTAGGCGTTTTAAAAAATAATACCACCTCTCATTGGTTCACATTGTTATTTATTTGCTATAATTATAATTAATATGATCGAAAAATTCCCCTTAAATACTCTATTTTATTATACAACTATTTTAAATACCTAAAATAAATTTTACATTTAAATATTTTCTATATTCACCATATTGTCATTAAAAATTAACAATATTTTAAGTAAATTTCAAATACCGTATAATGTATCATTTGACATTTGACATTTGACATTTCCTATATAATTTTACATATAAAATGACAGCACAGCGATTTTCATTTCGTAGCCATCGTTGACGCCGTTTTCTTTTTCGATCGTCTTGTATTAAGTGGGTACCAAAGAATATAAAAAATAAAGATATCTATACAATTTTCTTCGATATTACTTAATAAAACTGTAAATGCTACAAGATATCATTGAATAAATAATATGTATATTTGATACATTAAAAAATAATATAGTAAAATGCTGTAAATTGTAATTTCTAAGTAACTCGACGTCGTTTTTTTCCTTTATACTGTACTTTTACTAATATATAAAAATTAGAATTTAATATGCACAAATTTTGTATATCTCACTAATACAGGGTGTTTAAAAAAACATGTGCCATCATTGGTGGGGAGATTCCTTTCGTAAAAATAAAAATTTATTTTTCATATTAACATAGATCTGATTTGCTTTGTTTTATACCTACAGGGGGTCAAAATCTTCATCTTTTTTCAACTTATTACAATTTTTTTCCAATTGCTTTTAGCAATTCAAATGAAATTTTGAGGTTATATAAAATTTACTACAAGTGCGACATATTTTAATGCTAAAAAGTGTTGACATATTGACCAGGGGCGTGCATACGGGTTATCACTGTAATATTTTTCTCAAAAAAAATATCTGCGCCACTGACTTTTTTCTTCTGTTAGCAAAATTGTGTAGACCGTTAAAAGCCGATTAAAAGTTGTCTCTTGATATTTTGTCTCCTTGATGAGATAAACGCAATTTAATTAATTTGCCTTGACCCAAGTCTAATAGCAACCTTTAAAAAAAAATGTTATTAACTTGCCAAAATGTTAAATACAGGGTGGCGCCTCTCATACGCCGCGGAGGCTCCAAGGAGGTTAATTCAGAGCACTTTTTAAAAATATAGAGCGTTCTACAGGGTGTTCTCAAAAAAAGTTACATATCAAAGTTGTGTTTTTTGTAATGGAACACCCTATATATTAATTGATTTTCGGATTCTGGGAGAAAAATAAAGGTGAGTTTTTTAAGAGAAGTATATGACTAAAATGTAAGGTTTTTGACATATTTAACATTTTCTAGAAATAAAGAACAATTTTAAAATTACAATAAAAGCGACCAAAATTGGAATTTATCCGGTATAGCCTAATATGTAATTAAATTAACTATTGTACTTTAAATCAAATTAAAACTTGATCCAAAAAGTTATACAGGGTGAGACAAAATTAATATTGAACATTGGTCATCTTTAAAAGCATGTTACTCTCTTATTTTAAATGGAACACCCAGTATATTATTCCGATATTCAATGGAGAATCCATGTCTTTAAAATACTATTAAGGTTGCCTACCCTTCAAACAAAGATTTTCCTAGATATTTTCATTTACATGATTGATTTTTTTATTTTTTGTTAAATTAACAAAAAGTATATATCACAGTCACCCCTAGATTTTTTCAAATAATAAAGATTTACTGACGCAAAATCATAAAAATTAAAATATCTGGGAAAATTTTTCTCTGAGGGGGTAGGCAACCTTAATAATATTTTGAAGATATATAAATTCCCCATTGAACACCGGAAAAATATACTGGGTGTTCCATTTAAAATAAAGGAGTAACTTGCTTTTAAAAGTGAATAATGTTCCATATTAATTTTGTGTCACCCTGTATAACTTTTCGGGTCAAATTTCAATTTGGTTTAACATACATTGGTTACTGTAATTAAATATCAGGCTATACAAAGTCAACTAAAATTTAGGTAGCTGTTATCGAAATTTAAAATTTACTCTTCATTTTCACAAAATGTGAAATATGTCAAAATCCTTAGATTATATATTATATCCTTTGATTATATGTTGTCTTTTATTGTAGAAGTATATGCTTCTTTAATAAAACTCACCTTTATTTTTTTCCTAGAATCCAAAAATCAATTAATATATAGGGTGTTCCATAAGAAAAAACACAACTTTGATGTGTAACTTTTTTGGGGACACCCTGTATAATTCTATATATTTTTATAAAATGCTTTCACTTAACCTACATAAGCTGCCAAAATTTAATTTCGATATAAACTACCGTTTTCCTTGGAGCTTCCGCGGCGTATGAGAGGCGCCACCCTGTATAAGTAACTCAGAACTCATTGATTTCTCATCAAGAAATATAAAAAAAAGTTTCTATAAAGATGGGTGCGGAAATGCATAGTTTTAAAGTTTCTGTATGATAAAACTAATAATAGGCCTTTTGTAACTATCTTAAAAAAACATAGCCAACAATAGACAAGATAATTATCTTATCCTGTCTATGGTTGGCTATGCGGGCCCAAGTTATCCCTGTTAATTTCCTAATATCATGATCCCATCTCAGGTTCGGTCTTCTTCTTGGTCTCTTAATTCCTCGTGGGTACCATGCTACCATTTTTATGGTCCATCTGTTCTTCTTGTCAGGTGTCCTACCCATTGTCATTTGAGGGATTTGACTCTGTTTTGAAATTTAGTAATAAATTGCATTAAATAAATAATTTATTAATTTTATTTTTATTATAATTTTATTATTGTGTTTAATAAAACTGCGTTTATCTAATTGAGGAGATCGAAATGGACAAAATATCAAGATACAACTTTTAATCGGCATTAAATGGCCTATAAGAGGAAAAAAGTCAATGGCGCACATGATTTTTTAGAAAAAAATATTCGAGTAATAACCCATATGCACGCCCCTGGTGAACGTGTCGAAACATTTTTTACCATTAAAATATGTAGCACTCATAGTAACTTTTACCCTCCAAATTTCATTCCAATCGATAAAAGCACTTGAAAGAAAATGATAATAAATCGAAAAAAATGAAGACATTAACCTCCTGTAGCTACAAAACAAAGCGAATCGCATCTATGTTAATATGAAAAATAAATCTTATTTTTACGTAAGGAATTTTCCCACGAGAGATGGCACATGTTGTTTGGGAGACCCTGTATGTGTAATTTCTTTAACAAAACAAATAACAAATTGATGCAAAGCTGAGAAAACTACAGTGCAAGCATTTTATTAAATAAATTAACCGGTAAATAGTTTAAGAACTTTTGTAGTTGAGGGATCAATATTTAGCAGGCGGAGGGGTTACAGGGGTCTTTTGGTAGATTATTCGTTATAGTCATAGGTTATAGTGTATTTTTAAGACCTGTATTCATTTTCAGTCGATTCTACCGGGTGTTTCTCAGAAGGGGCTCACCTTTTTTACTTTTTATTTTTTCAGATAATACAACGAAATTTGGTTTGTTAGTATATTATGACATAAATCGGGATTGATTGACGTATTCAATTACCTTCGGTCGCTTCCTTTTCACCGGAAATGACTACAACTTTGAATTTTTAGATTGTATCTTAAGTACTTTTTTACTTTATTTGATAGAAAATGACATTCTGAATAGAATGCCATACCATACGTCAATTTTAGACATTTCCAATTAAATAAAAATAGCTTTTTAAATTTCAATCTAGAGTGCCAAGACTAAGTTAAAACACTTAAAACTATCAATTTGTAATCAAAGAACTTTGGAAACATAATATATTTGATCGTGTAATTTTTTTTCCTATCCCTTCATGACCGCTTAAAAGATGCCCAAATCGTATTTTTAATGATAACTCAAATTTTTCAAATGGTATGAGGCCGGCTCAGCAC